AGAGACGTCGCAATCCTCTATGGTTTCTCGACGTCCCCGTTGAAGCCCTATGCAATTTTTTGATAGAATAGAATGTGCTCTTCAATATGCAATTGAGCTCATTCGGTTTGGTTTTGGCAAAGTGTAATTAATTCTGTTTTGAATGTGAGTGAGAGTGACTCTTTTTTGCCCCCCCCCCTGTATACTATGGAAAGCTGGTGCGAGTCGAAGAGATACAGCTGAACCTACGCACAACAGCTCGCCCGCGTGTGCCAAGCTCTGCGTCGTCAAGGAGTGAATTGGGTCAATTTAAAACTAGTGCACGATAACACAAGACCACCTGTCGCGAAAAACACGCAACAAGAAATTGGGTACTTGGGACGCTCTGTCTTTCGCGCTATATGGCTCAGATCTGGCGTCGTCTACCTATTACTGAATCAGTCGTGCAGTGATTCTTAGCGGCAAAGAAATTCAATATCCACGATGGTGGCAACTTTTTAGTGTCGAACTTTTCGGGTCGAGCCAGAAAGAGTTCTTCGAGGAGGGCGTCAGTGCTTCGCATACCAAAAGTAGGAAAGTCAGCGACACGGATGGAGAAGATATTCCAGATTAATGTGCTCCGTTTCCGTTTTTATAAAGGAATTAATTGTAGATCGAAGACGAAACTTATATTTAGCCAACCTATCATATCACCATAGATATGTATAATTCGTAAGCTTTTTTCGAGTTTCTTCACTCATTATTTTTTTTTGCACTGCAAACTGAGTCGAATTTTATGCATGTGTCATTTTAGGCCGTGTTTAAAGTGTTCAGTGTCCAGGGGAATCACCACATAATGCAAAAAGTTTTTGAAAAGGTGATGGAAGCAGGTCGCATATGCATTAACGACTTATGATTAGTCACGACTTCCTCTGAACAGTTCAGTTTATGGTCGTCTCGGCGGTAAAAACATTTGTGGCAAATTTTGACGAGATAGTGGTTAACCGTCGAGTTCTGGTGGGAAAACCAGTTTTTAAAAAACACAAATTACGGATAACGGATTACTAATAGTGGATCGTTGGAAGAGGTCGTGTTAAAATATAGGTTGCACCACTTATGGATATTTGCTGGCGAAAAGTACGTTAGAGCTATTTGCCAGTTCGTAGTTTTCATCGACTTGATCATCAAGTTGGCGGGCCTGACACTGCAAATGAATTACTGAAGGTCTCTGTGTTTTTTGTTAGACCGCATGTTCGGCTTCATCAACAGCGCATAATAATCGCATGCCATTATTACCTCGAGATTGCCTATTACTGCTGCTTAGGAACTCTCATCCACTACACTTCAGTTTGGTCAACTGTTCTCAAATTCCACACCCCATTTTAACTTTTTCATAACTCTTTGG